AAACAAAAAATATTCATAATTTAGAAAGTAAATAAAAAGATTTCAAAATTCATGTTAACAATTTACAAAAATTTCAAATTCACAATGATTATTTATTCCTCTATCTATAAAAAAAATCCTAAAACTATTAATACAATTAAACAAAAAGAATCATATTTATCTAAACATTTATGCAATTAATGTCCTTTACAAAAAGAATCATATCAAATTCACAAAGACTTCCTAACCTATCATTTTGGGGTACAACCACATGGAATATACAATCCAATCACAAAGAAAACATTCCTTTACAATTGTAATCAATATATATTATTTGATTGGAAAAATGTTTGTCCTTTTAAAAATATAATTTAATGTCGTTTTAAATAAAATATAGTGTTTAACTATAATATTTAGTCAATTAAAAGTTAAATAAAAAATAAATTGAAAAAATAAAAAATTAAATATATTTATTTCACTTTAAAAACACAAAATTATAACCTTAAAATCACCATTGCAAATCTCTCCTTACTTGTACTTATTGCTTTTCTTCAGAGGGCTTTTGCTTTTCTTTATAAATCTGTATCTCTTTAGTGATGATCAATATTAATGAAATCAGACACTTAAGATGCTGTAAGTGCTCTTGTACTGTATTCCTCAAAGTGGTGACCTCATCTTTATAATCTATTTTAAAATAGATTTTAAAATAGGTTATATAGATTAACTAATTTTCCTATTTTCGAGTCAAACAACTGTTGGTATACTACCTTTTGTTATTTTTTAGGTTTTGACTTGAATTCATTGCAAGATATTATCGTTTAAATTTGATTACTAGCTTAAAATCGAGAATAACCTTTACATATTCCTTCTTCCAATTGGAGTTGGTTAATCAATGTGAATTAGGTTAAATTTGAACCGGCAAATGTCGACTCAAGCGGACGTTAATCAGGTTGTGAGTTATTTGAATTGGTTAATCGACTTACAAATTATTTTTTAGGAAAAGTTCATGTCCCATGTGGTTTACTTCAGAATCACTTATGCCCCTGTGGTTTTTTTTTTATCACATATGCCCCTGTGGTTTGCAAAAAAGAAAACCACCATGTCCTCTTGCTTAACACTATTAAATATTACTTTACTCATCCAATTTTGCCCCTGAAAACATTATTTAATAAAATAAATCTTAGAATCAAAATTAATTCTACACAGCACCTCAATCATTATTTCTACACAGCCAATATTAATTCTACACAGTCACATGCAAATTTTGAAAGCTTGAACGTTTGGTTCCATTTAAGATATGAGCCAATTAGCAACAAATGCACAAACTATTACTTAAAGCACAAATTAACATTGGTTCTGACATGCATTTTCTCCAAATTTACTTAAAAGCAGCCAGTGCTCTTCCTTCCAGATTCCAGGGATTTAGACCACGATTGTTTTTAATGTGACTAGAGCCATAATTCTCACCAGGCTTTAAGCCTATTTGATGTGGTGAAGTCAAACTATTTGAATCTGTCTCATCATTACAAGTCTCCCCTCCAGATAGCAGCATCTTATATCCACTCTTTCGAAACAAAGATAACCGAACCAGTACCTTGAGTTAGAGTTATTCAAGATAACAAGAAACATGGATCAATGGCTATGGAGATAATTACAAACCGAGGATAGTAGGAAGGAACAAATGCTAAATTACATAATGCTGCTTACTTTGTTGCTTCGGTAACAGCAAGGAAATTCCATTTTTTATCTTCACCATAGTAATGTTGTGCCACAACTTCAACTAATGCTTAATGGGTATTCAATATTTAATATTTAATGAGTAATGCTAGTATTTTTGATCGTTACTGCATAAAGGTATTCAATATTTAATGAGTAATGCTAGTATTTTTGTCTTGCATAAATTTGCATATTTAACAGTGTTAAGGGGCAAAATTGGAAGAGTAAAGTAATATTTAACAGTGTTAAGTAAAAAGATATGGTGGTTTTTCTTTTTGCAAACCACAGGGGCATATGTGATAAAAAAAAAACCACAGGGGCATAAGTGATTCTGAATTAAACGACAGGGGTATTGGTGAACTTTTCCCTTATTTTTTTCCAGCTCACTTAATATTTTTTTTTCATTCTCATAACTCAAATTTAAGATATTTAATTAAAAATAACAAATTTCTACCACTTAAATTAATAATTATTAATAACTTATATTTTCTTTATTTATATACATAATTAGAAAATATTTTGAGCATTTTTCATCAGCTTGTATTAAAAAAAATTATTAAAAAAAGTTATATTTAATATTATTTAAATTTTTTTAATATTTTTCCTGTCACATTATTTTTTTGACTTAAAAATAATATTATTTTAAAATTGATAGAAATATATTTTTGTAATTTATTTATGTTGGAGTTTTATTGATCTTTATCATGATAGATTTCTTTTTTCAAATCCAATCACATCATTTTTTATTAGATACCAACCGTTGTCGAAATTTTTATGAACCCAATTGCGATTTTGAATCTCTTCATCACCTCTAGCGATTGTGAGTTGTGACTCTAAAAAATTGAACCCAATACCCTTAGGCTCACAGGAAATAAAATACCTCATGTTAAAGAGATTTAATGATTAGAATCTACTCAAAGTATATAAATATTTATTTTAAATTAACATTTAATTAAGTAGACTTAAAAAAATAATCAGAATAATTAATTATTATGATTTTAAACCTACCTCAGCATATCAGCTCACATCAAATTAGATCAAATCAGACTATAACAAGTCAGGTTAAAATTATTATTTTTCTTTTGTTTTATTAGCCAACGCACAATTTAATCACTCACTCATTGCGTTCAATCCATTTTAATAAGTCATAATGTTTTCATATCTTTCCTTAAAGGGAAATACAAGTCTACTATTACAAGAGATTTGTTATCTCATGCTGGAGAAATAATAAGTGTGATCGAGATTTACTGTTTTAAAAATAAAATAAAATTTGACTCGACTTTTAATGTATTTGGAGGAGGGATATGTTTTCTACTCCAACAGAAGATAAACATACCCGTCCCTAAATTGCATTAGCTTTAGAATATTTTATTTATGCTTAAATCTTAACCTTAAAGTAAAAATGATGTATCATAATTAAGTTAATATATGATCTCGTATATAAAAGATAAAATGACATAAAAATATATATACAAAAAAAAATTACATAAAAATATAATGTTGTGTATCTGAAATTTCGATTTTGACAAAAATACTACAAGTGAAATTACATTGATTTATATGTTTTGTGCATAATTTTTATTAAAATGGATGGCTAATAGTGTGGTACATAAAAAAAAATATGAAAAGATTCAAAAGAAAGTGGGAGTGGTAGTTATTGGGGTCCCAAAGTCTCAAGGGATAGACCCAGTTAAATAGGGCCTGGTAACATGAAAGTTTTGGAGTATAGACCACTATATAAGCAAAAGATGGGCCTTAAGGTTATTTGTTTTACAAAATACGGACTCGGTCCAATAGATCGTCTTCCTGGGCTACTGGCCCTCCTTCATTGTATAATCACCAAATAGAAAGTGTTTAGGGTGCAAATATGTATCTGACAAGGAAGAAAAAAAAAAAGTGTAATCGGGAATACGAATACGTGATTAAAAGACTGATTTGTAAATCAAAATATTATTGAAAATATTAATTTAAGTTTACTGATTTCATATTTGGTTGATACTTAAATATTATTGAGAATCTAGGATATTTTAACAAAAATAACCCCACCTTTGTTACAGCCCCAAACCCTGTAGCATGATATTGTCTGTTTTGCCCCGCGAACAAGCACTGTCGAGCTCACGGTTTTGTTTCTTGGGACCCTCCACAAAAAGCCTCACACTAGAAGAGGTATCCACACTCTTATAAGGCATGTCCTTTTTCCTTTATGTAATGTTCCACATCGGTTGGAGAGGGGAACGAAGCATGCCTTATAAGGGTGTGGACACATCTTCTAGTGTGAGGCCTTTTGTGGGTGTCCCAAGAAACAAAAACCGTGAGCTCGTCGGTGCTTGTGCGCGGAGCAAAACGGACAATATCATGCTACATGGTTTGGGGTTGTTACAACCTTCTTTGAATTCCCACAGTTCATCTTCTGCTTACCGGACTTGGTTCGCCTCAACTTGGGCTTCAACAATTTCTCCGGTTTGTTTCCAACGAACTTCAAACCAGATTGAGAACCCTCTTCTTCGACTTGGAGATGGAACCTCAGCTTCTTTTCTGTTGCTTTCGTTTTGATCCCTTTTTTTTTTTTATTAGTACTCAAGGGCCCTAAGCCCAAAAACAACAAAAAATCAAATAACTAAAACAGACATGTAATAAGCGCTGTTTTAAGATGTAAAACTCTTTTTTGGTCCATTGCTTTTTCTTGTAATTTAAATTAATAGAGTTAGTAATATTTATAAAAACATAAATAAAGGATGATTAGAAAATTTTAATGATAAATAATCATCTTGTTGGAAATTTTTACAACAGAGAATATTTAGTTGAAAAAAGAAAAGGAGAAATAATTTTATCATTTTAGATGAATTTTTTTTTCTCATATTATATTAACAATTAAAATGTGGGTTTCATTTTGATTTTTTTGTCTTCACATTTTTGTGTGGAATCCACTGATATATTGTGTGTATAACATAAAAAAAATATTCTTGAGAAAATTAATTCCCTTAAAAAAATTCATCCCCAATTTTATACTTATCCTGGAAAATCCGGGCAAAAAACAACATAAAACTTTGATTAAAGGAAAAAGGAAAAAAAAATCCATTCTGGCTTAACAGTAAGCAAGTGGAGCTTGGCATTCAATCATGACTAAGTTGGCCCAAAAAAGAAGAAAATAATAGCCGTTCGTTTTTCAGTTTACACCAAGTAAAGTCTAGGATTCGATAGAATAGAATCCCGAAAAATACGACGCAGTTTTTAGGAATCCGATTCAAATGCTTGTTATAATTGTAGCCTACGAACTCGAATAAATTCCACTTGCGGGTGCAGTCCCACAAAAACGCCACACGGTCTATAACGATGTAATGTACTTGCACAGCTAAGAAAAAGAAAAGCAGCATAATTAATCTAACTCAACGTTGAGATCAACTCAAAGAGCGAGCTTGCAACAACAATTCAATTCAATGGCAGAGAAGCAAGTGATGGTGGTTGGCATCGACGACAGCGATTACAGCACTTACGCCCTCGAGTGGACTCTTGACCACTTGATCACACCCCCACCCAATCCTATCTTCAACCTTGTTCTTGTTCATGCCAAGCCTTCTGTTTCCTCCTCTGTCGGCTTCGTTGGCCCTGGTATATTTCTCGTGATTTTCTTATATCTTTTTTTCATTTTGAAAAGGTTGTTTTGTTGATGTTGATTTTTATATATATAACAACGTTTTTGCAGGAGCCGCTGAGGTCGTGCCTATCGTGGATGCGGATTTGAAAAGATCTGCTAACAAAATTATTGAACAAGCTAAAGATCTCTGCCTCAAGAAAAAAGTAATGAAAATTCCCCAACACTGCATCCACGTTGTGCTGTGTTGTGTCATTTTACTTCATCTCTGATGTTTCAGAACATCTATATTAACTATGTATTGTGTGTGCATATATACCTGAGGAATTGTTATCTGAAGTGATGACTAACTTTTTTATATATCAGGTAAATGACATAAAAGTGGAAGTTTTGGAAGGTGATGCTAGAAATGTTCTTTGCGATGCTGTGGAGAAGCACCATGCTTCAATACTGGTTGTGGGTAGTCATGGCTATGGATCCATAAAAAGGTAAGGATTCATTCTGATCCTACTTATCATTCTATTATTGCTTTGCAACGATGATCGAAGTATGATACATACTTTTCTTAAACTTGTGAATAGCTAGGGGTAGGATATATATACCATGCATGAACATACTAAATTGAGTTCTAGCATTCTCAAACGAATCAATTTCATCGCAAACTCAAGTTGCCAAGAACATGAGTAAGATGTTATGTTAGTTGCCACACCTTAAATCCATGGCAAGTTTTTTATTTTCTTTTCTTTTAATTATTGTATGGTCAATATGATTGTGCTTGGTAGTTAGTACTTACTGTTTTCCGGCTAATCTTTCCCAGTTATCTACCATCATTTTTTTGCAGGGCGGTTTTAGGTAGTGTAAGTGACTATTGTTCTCATCATGCTCACTGCACTGTGATGATCGTGAAGAAGCCAAAAACCAAACACTGATCTCATTGGCTTCGTCTATAGTGCTACAGAAATAAACGTAAATCTTTTCAGCAAAAGGGAAAATAAAAAAAAATTCATAATGCTGTTTGTTCCATGCTATGCTGACTTTACGCTTTAAGGTTCATTTTACTTTTTTATTTTCAAAGATATTACATATAATATATGCAAGCACAAGGAGTTTTTCCTTATCCAAGCGACCCAGGAATTTATTTTGTTCATGAGCGATTTGTATAAATGTTAATGTTATATGCGTGAATGACTCATGGAAGTGGCGATTGGGTCGCATACAATAAACTCTTGTTTTTCGGCTATCAAATTTATGAACATGCCAAGGTAGTTTGATTCAAGAAATGGATTTTATTTATAAATTAAATAAGTTGGTATTTAATTTCTTTAATTTTGATTACAGCTTATCCTTAAAGTTCTACATTTCTGAATAAATTCTATTAAACTGTGTTGCATTTATTCACCTTCAATAGAAGGTCTACAACTGCCGAGTAAAAGAAATTATGGATTTGATTCCTAAAATTTACCTTTTCGCAATTTAAGTTCTAAACTCTAAAATTGGTTAATTTGATCTTAAGAATGCCTTTTTGGGGCTAATTTCTCGGGTCAATTTCTTGTCTAACTTTAAGATGTGACGGGGGAGAGAATTTTTTTTTTTTTTTTCAGTTTTACACAAAGTATAATTTCGTATTTTGTGTAAAATATCTATAATAACACAAGCTTGTGTCATTCAAAATGATACTTCTTTTTTCCATGTTCAAATTTCAGTACCATTATTTATATAAAAATAAATAAAAAAATCAATTTCTTGAAGTGTTCCCTAAAAATAATTTGCCTATACCCTAAAAATGTAGGGATATAAATATTGTATGCGGTAAATAATATGACTACATTTTTTGTGGGAAAAAATGTGTATCATTTTAAAGGATGTAAAGTTGTGTCATTTTAAGTGAGAGAAAGAGATAGATAAAGGAGGAGAGAGAGTGAACAAAAAAATGTAAAAGTGTGGGTCCCATATATTTGTGAGAGTAAAATGATATAAGTTGTGTCATTTAAAAGGAGAAACATTTTCCCCTTTTTTTTGTGTGGTACCCGTGGTTTTTTTTGCCCAATATTCAATGACTCTAAGATACCCCCACCCCGCCGAAGGAAAAAAAAAAAAAGGATATAGAAGATTTGCCTCCTTTCAAAACATATCCCAATGATCCTTATCTCACATATCATTGAGTATCCAATATCCATACTCTTATTTTTACCCGTCCAATATAATTGCACACTTAATTAGGGCACGGCATCAGAATACATGAAGAAAGGCTCGACATAAAAACATTAAACCATGAATGAAAAAGATGAGATAAAACAACGCTATTTATTATGAGAACTTAATTCTTGACCGGAAAGGGAATACCAAAGGGCGGCACCAGAAAATAAAGCGTGGGGGTGCAGACAATAAACACTACTATGCTGGACAGGACTCTCTTACGCAAATTAAATAACTAATTTAAAGAATCTACGTGGATAAACAGGCAACAGAAACAACTTTGGATTTCTCTCTAAGTCTATATAGGTCATCCCGGTCAACATATTACATATTATAGCCAAAGCTCAATTTGTATCTATCCAGTAACTCGAAGAATACGTTCATGAAAGACCAAACAAATCATCCTATTGTATTTGATCTGTTCCTGTGAAAATATAGGATGAGATAGAAAGTTGGATAACAAATCAGAAGCATATGAGCTTATGGGCACTTTTTATGAAAGAAAACCCTGTAATGGACTCATATTGTAACCTTTTTCTTCGTTTATTTTAAGGGATAACTTTTGTTGTGTTCCTCTGTGTGTGGACTAAATATGCACTTAGTGAGTTATGCTTTTATAATTTTAGCACTTAGTAGTTAGTACTAGGTAACAAGTGTACTAAAAAATTATTCAAACATATCTATATCCATAATGACAAAAACAGAAAAGCCGAGTGTTTTTTCGCATTCACATGGCTACATCAATTAACGAGACATGGTTTTGTGTGTATAAACAACACAAGTACTGAAATGGAGAGTCAGATAATAAATTATGTCTATATTCAACTAGTTGAAAATTTCAGAATGATAATGAAGAAGATCCGGTGAATGCAATAAGTACAGTAAGCTTATATCAAAACTTCAACCAAAGAACTTGAGCTGTTCAGCCGTGTCTAAGTCATAATCTCTAGTTCTCTCCAGAATGTCATAGTTATCTGCGACGTTAATATTGGTCTACATGATTATTAAGCCTACAAAGACATATGACCCCATGACTTATTTGGATTCGCCATTCGTGAAGGCATGAATTCTTGCGTTGCATTTTTCTTCATGGAAATGGGATACTCTCCACACCCCAAGGGTTCCATTATCGTGGTAACAAAGCAAACATATATTACTGCCATACCCTTCACATCATATTCAGGCTCAGAGTTAAAGAGAACCATCCATTTATAAAGTAGTATACATATGGGCAAAGAATAGAATCAATCGCAACTTGCAAGGTCGACGAAAACGCGTGCATTTTATAGCAGAGAATGAAGATAGCATTACATAAAAAATGAACATGGAAACCAATTCTATTAACTGAATACTAGCATTCATTATCTTCTGCAGCAGAATATAAATAAAAGTACCCAGTTGAAAATCCCAACACAGTTGTCACTTCTAGGCAACTTTGTACGAAATAAATTGAAAAAAAAAAAAAACAATTTGGAATTACAAAAGCTTCTAAATATCGCTGACAAAATCAGTAGGGGGATTTATGCAAAGCCAACAAAAATGCTAAACGCAAATAGGTCTGAGATCCAATAATCCTTTTCCTTTTCCTCTGCAATCGTCCTACTACAGAGAAAAGAAAAAATTGAAGTGCATGACACTAGAGCAAAATATGGAAGGTTTGCCAATCACAATTTCCCAAGCAAGATTTTCCATATGATATGAACCGATTTCCTTCTTTACAATCTTTACACTCACCATTTTTTTATAAGGTTTATAGCATAAGCTGAACCCTTTGAAATTGTTAAATGTTTAAAACACACTCTTCCCCCGGAAAAACATGCAGTTACCCCATCTAAACCTAAAAATAATTTAAAGAAAAAAAAAATATAGCAAGATAGTCTATTGAGCACAATACAAGCATGCCCTATTGCTACCATCTCATGAATTGAATTATGAGACAACTCTTAAATCACATAAACTTGGGATAAAATGTAGTACATAGGGAATCCAAATGTGAACACTAAACTTGTTTCTCATCAAAGATTTGTATAACGTTACACATAAACGAGATGATATATACCTTTCAGTTCCTTCATGAAGTCTTTACATCTCCAGAGCATAAAGAAATTAAGAATGCTAGGTTTGATAAAAGCAGAACCGGGGAAATAGTTATTAACCAAACATAAGGTAAAGAAAAAATGAGATTCATGTGTACATGGGGACATCGGTCCATGCCCCAGAGACATGACCATTCTCACAAACATAAGCTCGAACCACAGGCTCCCCATCGTCATGGTACCCAAAACCTCGCCTCAAGCAGAAAGCAGAGTGGAGATCCCAAGTGTGTTTGGAGTTGCAATAAGCACAACCCAGATCAAGCTTCTTCCGATTCCCATCGTTGATAGTCCTCCAAACACGGGTTCGTTTGAAATTCTTGAAAACCCCTCTGAAAAGACAGTACTTTCTCTTCTCCTCAAAGTGAACACAACCTGGCCAATCACAAACATACAAACAATCATCGCGAAACTGTCTAGCGAGGAGCTTGCTACCCTGTTCCCTACTCAAGCTCCAACTCCCAGAAGCTAAATGCGAATTCCACGACCTGCAAGCCTTCCGTTTCTTACAACCCCTCGAGACAACACCTTCGCGAACCACCTCCTCTGACAATTGGGGTTGTTCTGATTCAGAAACATCGTAAAGGGTATCATGATAAAGATCATCGAAGAGGGACCAACAGCAATCAGATTCAGAAGGAGGAGGAGGAACAGGAGGAAGTTTGTTAGTGGATGCTGCTGATGGTGATGGTGATGGTGATGGTGTTATAGTGAGGGGATGGTCGGGGCCAAGGTCTTGTTGGAGGCCGAAGTCGGAGGAGTCGAAGTGGAGGCCGGCGTGGAGGAGGCCGGGGCAGCAGACGGCGAGCTTGTGAAGGGAGGAAGGTGGATCGGAAGAGGAGAGAAGATCGGAAGGAATGGTGAGAGAACACTTGTTCTTCCAACAGAAATGAATGAGAGAAGAAAATTTGGTGCAGACACAAGCCATGCGAGCCCAGTGTCGAGGATCATCTTCGAGCTTGAGGAAGATTTTAAGAATGATGTCGTCGGTGAGTGCTGTGAATAGGTTTTCCAGAGACATGATTGTTTGATACTCCGATTGCTGTTGTCTCTCTCTCTCTCTGTGTCTTATGGTTTGTTCCAGTTTCAGCCTAAGCCGCAGAATTCACTCCTCAAAAACCAAGAGAATATCAGTTTCAGCAACGGTATATTACTATTAAAACGTTGCTGCTTTTACACCACTAATTTTTTTCTTTTTATACTTTTCATTTATAAAAAAATAAAAATAAAAATAAAAAACGAACCGTGAGATTTGGTTATTTGTTTAATTTATAATTTATACTTTCTATTATTAAAATATTTACTGATTTCTTGACAATTATATACTCATTTTTCCAATTTATTTAAGGGTAATCATAGTTATCTGATGATTTAGAAGAAATTAGGTAGTGTTTGGTTCGGGAGAATTTTTTTTTACTAGGAAAATGTAATTGATAGGAAAATGGTTGTAAAGTGAGTTTGGTAGGAAAATGTAAAAAAAGTTGTTTGGTTGACCCAAATATTACCGGAGAGATTTTTTTAAATATGCAAAATCTATGTTCGGGAGAAACTTTGCACCTCTCAAGTGGTATTCTCTAACAGTGAATTTCTTCCAAAAATCAACACAAAAGTTATTTTCCCATCTATCCTATTTGTCGGTATTTTTTGAAAAAACCTGAATCAAACGTAATATTTTCCAATATTGACTTTCACTTTCCCATCAATCCCAAAATAAACCTTCAACCAGACGAGGAAAGTAAAAAGTTGGGGTCCACGTGTGAAACGAGGAAGGAGGAAGGACCAGTAGGATTCTATCGCTTTCAATGGAGACCGGGAGATGAAGAAATAAAGGACAACCACAGACGAATGACACGCCGACAACCATCAATGATGCCTTCCAACTTGTAATGCAACTCGACAATCAACTTGTGAGTGGGACTACCACCTACCGTTCGATTTAGTTGATTTCCTTATCTCCACATACTGCATATAGCTCAGATCTCTTATCCAAGGAGGGGGAAAAAAAAATACACAAACGCTTTGCTGTCAAAATTCACATTCATTTTTACCCCAAAAATAATAATAAATAAATTCAAAACCATGACCGATTAGAGAAGTATCATACGCAATTATCTCAAAAGTAAGGAATACTGTTTTTAGGTTTATGGCACTAGGAATCTTTTACGTAATTAACTTTTCAAACGATTTTAATGGATTATTTTTAGATAAAAAAAATTCGTTGGTATTCGATTAAGATTTTAATGGATTGAAAAAAAGTCACGTGGTATTCGATTAGAATTTTAAAGGATTATTTTAAAATCCGTCCAAATCTGTTGGTATTCAATCAGGATTTTAAATAATGGAATCACAATCTCGTGGTATTCAAAAATCCGACGATTTTAATGAATTTTCTAATTGGTGTGGATTTTGTGAGTTTTTTAGTGAAAAATATAAATAGGATGTCTCTCTCACAATCTCACCCCAATCCCTAGGATTTCTTGAGATCCTTCTGTTGCAGTGTTTTCTTTTTCATTTGACAGGTTGATTGCTCGAAATTGGGTTCTGCCATGGGAGCTTCGTTAAAACTAAAAAAAAAAAAAACATTTTTGAGCGATTTTCATCACAAAACAATCCAAAATTTTGAGAAATTTTGGAAGTTTAAAAAGTGATTTTTCAGGGTCGCGGTTTTTTTTTTTTTTTTTTTTGGAGTTACCCAACCCTAATTATCTCTTTGAGACGAGTTGGCTCCCTCCGGTATCCCCACGAGCTTCGACTCTTTGAGTCGGCTATGGGACTAATCCGGAGTGCGGGGGAACAGTGATGGCTAAAGGTTCAGCCCCCTCCCCAAGAATGCATTCAGCGGGAATCGAACACATATCCAACCCCACTAACTCAGCGCCAAGTTACCAACTGAGCTGCACCCATTGGGTAGGGTCGCGGTTTTTCTTGGCACAAAAAAAGAAAAACCGCGACCCTACCCAATGGGTGCAGCTCAGTTGGTAACTTGGCGCTGAGTTAGTGGGGTTGGATATGTGTTCGATTCCCGCTGAATGCATTCTTGGGGAGGGGGCTGAACCTTTAGCCATCACTGTTCCCCCGCACTCCGGATTAGTCCCATAGCCGCCTTTTTGTATTAAAAACAACATAGAACAGTGAAAAAATAACAGGGAAACTAAAACCCTCAAACCAATTTTCGTTTTACATCAATGAAGCAATATCAATTTAAAGAAAAATTGAAACTTTCATAATATGAACCCTATATTTTGTAACAATACATTCATGAACGAAATTTCTTCACTATAGGATACAATTTCAAACAATTTTTGTGTCAATAGATAACTAAAAACTTGTTTCTCAAAAGCCCTAAAACAATTTAAGGTTTGAATGTATCGACTGAAATTTTTTTGAGAAATTTTCTAAACTTTCATGTAATTAAACCCAAAATTTCAGATTCAAAATTTTCTTAGAATATTCAATGAAAATATGCATATGATATATGGTTAGAAAACTCTCATCACCTAAAACAAAAACCCCAAGGTTTTCAAGATCAATTGCAAAAAATTTCAAACGAAATTTTATCATGAACTTTAGGTTCTATATGCAAATTTAGAATTATTTTTATAATTAAAAAAAATTGGATCTTATAATCATATATGCATAACTTTGATACCAAATGAAGAAGATAATTTTCAACCCATTAAATATGTGAAAAGTTGTTGTCTAGTAATTTTGAATGTTTGTTAAAAATTGTATTATGTTTTACTGATTGAGATAATTATATTAGGTTTTACTTTTTTTTATTAATTTCATTGCATTTCTTTGTTATTTTTTTATGGGGTATATTATACTTACAACCTATTTTTGTTTACAACCATATTGTAACCGTTGATTTCCGTCAATCAATGGTTATTATTTTCACAAATCAAACTCATTAATTAATATTTAACTTGAAAGTTAACCGTTGATACATGGTTATTATTTTCGCAAATCAAACTCAAACTGAAACTCATTGAGAAAATTATATTAGATTTTATTGATATGTGTAGAGTTGTTGCTTAGTAATTTTTGAGATAATTTTCAACCCGTTGTTAAGTTTACTTTTTTCTTTTCATTAATATCATTGCATTTCTTTGTTATTTGTTTTTATTGACTCTTGTAATTTTGAATATTTGCTAAAAACTCATATAGTTTTTTAAAATCTTATAAATCCATATTGTCCTTTCAAATCTTAAGAATTCTATTAAAATCCTTTAAAATACAATCCTATGAAATCTTGATTGTAAAAAAAATCTTTTAAAAAAGTCTATAAAGTATCTCCAATTCTAAAATGTCTTTTAAAATCTGTAGGAATTTTTATCTCAAAAAAGTCTTTTAGAATCCTAATCCAATACACCCCCCTTATAATAAAGACACGTTTTGGATGATTTTTTTTTTTCAATAGCTCCTTTTTTTTTTCAGGAAAAAAATATTTTTTATTTTAAGTTCGTTTGGATGTCTACTTTAAAAAAACAGAAGTCAAAAGTCAAATATTTTTTTTTAAAATTAAATAATTTTATAAAAATATAAATAATTAACTTTTATAAAAAAAATACTTCTAAAATAAGAAAGAGATAAAAATTACTTTTTTTAGAAGTCCAAACAAACAGGCTCAATCGGTTAAATAAGACTAAATAAAATATAATTAAAAAATGAAGTAAAAGGAGAATATTTTTACTTTACTATAAAATTAAAAAAAATCTTGTTATCTATTTCAACCATTAATTTTCGCTCGTCTTATGATTAAATTTTAAAAAATAAATAATTAATTAATAGATATAACTGAATAAATTATAATTATCAAATAAACAAATATCAATAATTAAAATGAACTACCTTAATAATATATTCGTAATGGCATACGTTCATCTTGCCAAATAACCGTGTAAATATCCGTAATCTAATCAAAATCCGCTCGCATTAGTAGCCTGCAACACTACTAATGTTGCGACGAGCATAATTAGTGAGGGGAGGCACTCTAAAAACGTCTCGTCCAAATGCCTTTCAAATAGTACACACTGTGTCCCAAGTCCATTTAAATCCAAAACCCATAGCACTTAGTAAAAGTTAAGTTTGTTAAAATCCTCCATGGAAATCCGTCCATAGTTAACCATAAGAACTTTCCCTTATCGAAATCCTATAAACCGACAACTTCCAGTTAAACCCAAAATATAATTTTATCTCGATAATTTAAACCAACACTAGTTTTGATCCTATAACTTTTTTCATATCAACTTTTATTTTCATTTATTTAAATTTTAGTTATAACATTTGTAGTACCTATATTTTAAGTCCTCTGAATTTTAGTTCCTATATACTCGCTTGGACATTTTCACTATTTTCTACTCAAGAATGTCCTTAAAATTTTCACTTTTAGTCAATTAAAAGAAAAACTGTAAGGCCCGTGGCTCAAAAAAAAAAAACAACTCATTTGAATAATTATTCTAAAGAGTAAGATATTTCATAATAGTGAGGTTTTCGTGCACTTAAATCAAGGGGCCAATAAGAACTCGGCAATAAGAGTAGCGACAACAAGGGTATTATGTCATAAATAGACAAGGAATTATAATAATGTAATATAGGCCGATACCAAATCAACCCAAGTAACCAAATAGGTAAGTTTGACATTCAACAGTCTATTACAGATAGCTAGGGCCCATCAAATCCCCCATATAAGATAAAGACGACAATAGGTATAAGTTTTAAGTTCAATTCAACTGAGTTCAAACAAGTTCAACCCAAATAATTTTTTTTTGTTCTCGGCCAAAGTCAACTTACAAGAGTAACTTTGTAGCACTCACCGTCATCCACAATTTCATCAATTGTAATGATTGAAAACAATCAGAGCTCACCTGCCACACCCAGGCCCAATCAGATCCAAAACAACCACATAAAATATATATTGAGCATGTCAAGGAATGCGATAGGGGCAAAATCATAGAGGGAAATAACAGAATTTTAGATACACACCGAGACAAACTCTTGCTCCTGCTCCTGCTAGCACTGCGCCTTTTTGGGCTTGTATTACGCTGGCAAAAAACACCATTAATTGGAGAGGAAAAAAGAAGACACAGTCTACCAAAACAGTAATTGAAACTTCAACCATGCTTTCTCAGAAGCCATAAGGATTCACCATGAAAAATGAGACTTAATATAGTTTACCCACATGTTCTGTCTTAGTACATGGCTTGACCTAACAAGCCAAGCTCCCCATTCTATGATGCAAATCACGACATCTAGTGATCTAATTCAGCAAGACAAGAGACAGGCAGCAAAATAATGCTTAATCGAAGTCAGAAAATTCACTCACCAAAGGTAATGGAGACCTGGACCTTGATCGTGATCTGCAAAAGTTCCACAAACAACAGAATTTAAAATCCACAAGTTCCCTTATCAAATTGGATCCAACAGCCTTGATGCCTCTCCCATGTCACAGTTAACATATCCAAGAGAGGTAAAAACAAGCATCATAATGTATAAAACAGCCGAACAGAGAGAAGACTAAAAAAGGAAAAGTTATTGACATTCTATGCATAATAATATGATGAAAAACGAATAAAAAAAAACCATCACAGGGTAATGTATTAAGACACCAGTGGACTGGAGAAAAGAAATCTTCCCTACTGCACCACAAAATCCAGAGAATCCAGATAGTGCACCCTATTGGCTTGGCAAATCTTGAAGCCCACAAGTGTAATGAAATTGTCCCTATTGCTCAATGGTGGTGATTTCCAAATCCCAATTGCATTTATACCCAAGACATCCAGCTCTAAAATGGCAATCCATGATCTTGTTGGTTCCCAATCTAGCACCCATGGACATTTACATGCTAAAAGTATTAGAAAAGATCTACTGAGAGGGTATCCAAAGACGCCCATCTAAAAAAATCATACCTCCACAACAAATTGAGTTGCAGGCAATTGAACCAAATCCCACCAAGTTCCTAATTTCCAAATTCCAGTATGCTGCAAGTAGCCATATCAAAGAAAAACAAAGGAATTTTCACAGAAACAAAAGGAACTCAAAGCGAGCGTTCCTACAAGGAGACATGTTTCATCCTGTACCGCACGAAGAAAGCTTGAAGGGGAAAAAATTGAGAAGGGAGTTTATGGTAAGAGAGTAGCAGTGCATAAGGAAAAAATGATTAAATCTGAAGTTCATAGAGAAAAACTAATAAATAACACTTTCTTTACAAAACAAGATTCTCTATGACTTCTATTTTTGATAAAAGAAAGGAGTTATAAATGATACAAGTTCCAGTCTATGATGTTTATCAACATAAACAACAGATGGTACAGACAACTGACTTCGTTGGAACAAAGCAATAGGAATTAAGTTGTTCATACTAAAATTTGCTTAGACAAGATATGCATGATTATTATTTATATTTTGTTCATTATTAATACTCATAATTCTCTATGTTCCCCCCCATGCAATATATTAAAATGCCTCTTCTGGGTGGGCCCTTTTGGTCCCTGCACATACAAATGACGCTAAGAAGCTCTGAGCAGATTGGTAAAAAGGTCAAGTTGGGTCAACCATACATTAAGATACCAAACAATAATATCAATACAAAAATAGCTTTAAAAATAGTAAAGGAGAAAAATTTATACACATTCAAAACATTTCATACCCTGATAAAGAACGGGATCTAGACCTTGAGCGAGAACGAGAAGCTGGCCTTGGTGGAGATTTAGCTGGTAAACGCTGTGAAGATTTTCCCTTTGGAGATTTGCTGCATGAAGAACATAAATTTGATTAAGGAAAAAAAAAAAACCAACGATGAATCTTCACCCAAGGAACAACCTGGAATCTAAAATACATGTTGAACAGACCTTGGGCTCTGGCCCCGACTGTAACTATGGCTAGGGCTACGACTGCGGCTATAGCTTCTTCCTCTAGAATGAGATCGGCCACGACTAGGACTTCTAGAGGAGTCCCGCCTCGAATCATATTCCCTCACCTATATGGGTAAAAGAGATAAAATACCATCAGTAGAAGGCATGCACTTGAGAATATATATATATATATATATATATATATATATATATATATATATATAAAATCTTCAAAATATCTAATTCAGGTCATACCCGAACAAAGCCCTTAGAAAATGCATTCCGGAACTCAGAGTCATCAAGCTTCTTGATCTGCGGCAACAAAAATCACCGACATTAAAGATTATGTATGTATTTGTTACAGAATACACAATGCAAAACTCATGAAAGGTTATCATGATGTCCTTTGAAATAAATAAAAGCATGCAAATAAAGAAGTAACTCACAGCATATTTCATATCCTCGTAACTGGTATAATCCACAATACCAGTAGTTCCTGCAAACCAACCATAATACATCAAAGACTCCAGCAAATAGCTTTAAACTAAAAAACAAATAAAAAAAAAACTCATGAAATCTTTGGACAGCCTTAAATGCCATCCTCGCACGAAGAGAACTAAGACGGGAAAAGGGTGTGGGGAGAAAAACAACGCCAATTTAAAAACTTGTCAATTACTAATACATCCAAACCAGAGGGTACAATTAAGAACCAAAATTTTCATCCAAATGCCCCGTACCCCTTCCATCATGAAAAACTTGGGAAAAGCAAACATCCCCTGCCTTCCGCATGTGATCCTACACATAAGAAAATCATTTTTTGAGACATTATCAATAAACTCACAAAACAATTCTCTGACAGAACATAAATAAACACAATAGCTCACTTTAAGATCCTGCCAGGATGCAGAAGAAGGCAATCCAGTGATAAGAACTGCAAAAGGGAGCATGCGAAATTTAGAGGCATACCAAAAGCATCCTAAAATACCTAATAAATGTTCCAATTATCTACACACCACGAAATTCAGAGCGCCTAGAAACCCCACGTCCACCCCGGCCATTGCTGTGACTACTATGACGATCTCTTGAGGATGAATTACCACGTCCACCATGTGCAGGCTCCACCTATAAAGATACAAAGTTTAAAAAAAAGAGACTAGGTATTGCAGCTATCTTGCTTTTTTCTTCACTTTTGATAGAAGTCATTGCAGCTATCAGATCACAAAGCATGTAATTTTAATTTGTAAGACATAACCAACCCTTAACCGGTGCCCATCAAAATCATATCCATCACGCCCACGAATTGCATCCTCAGCATCTTGAGTATCTTCGAACTGCAATAATCAGTCATCGATCAGGATAAAGAGGGGAAAAAAAAAGTTTACATCAAAATGAGTAGTTCCAAACTCACCTCTACAAATGCATAGCCAGGGGGCCTTGGCGGAACCTTTAGATCAATGTGAGTTATGTGTCCATACTACAAAGTGAAATTTATAAGTAAACAACAAGAAACCACATAATTATCAAAGGGTATAAGAACCAAAAAGTCTACAAAACACTTATGGTACATTAGACGTACTACACTAAATGATCGGTCATCAACATCAAGAACACATCTTACTACATTGTCCCAAAAGAGACCATTAAAAATTGTATCTTACTTCAATTACAATCCATTAGAATACCTTAATTTTAAGTCCAACTTAACTAGTGTTACCAAATGAAATCCTCACATATACGAATAAAGGCAATGTAGGTATAGATCCTAGCAAGCTGATGGCTTTCAAGTTTCAAATTAATGAAAGTTTATCAATGTCAATAAATCCCCCAAAAACTTCACATACCCAACCCTTATCTAGTGAGGTGTATGCCACAAGGACCATAATTCCATACCAAAATGCAAATAAAACAAAAAAAAAATACGAAATCACCTTCAGAAACAAATCTTCAACTTCTCTTTCACGGATATCACCAGGAAGATTCCCAACGTAAACAGTTCTGCTCCCGCGTCTACTCATTTTTTTTTTCTGCGGCACGTGAAAAAACGAAAAATAAGCAACAACATGTTACAATTGAAAAAAAATAAAAAATTTCATGCCCTAGCACCCAGTACATGACCCTAACCGTACTTAAGCTAATTCAGCGAGGAATATAATTCTTCATAAAACCAAAACAGCATAGCAAAATGGGGGGTAAAAAAAAATCGAATTTTGTGGGTATTTCAAATAAATTAGAATAAAGAGTTGCGGGTAATTGATAGGAGGAGGGGTCTAATTGGGTGAAAGGGACTCACCTTTGACTAGTTAGGATTGGGGATCGGTGGCGTTGCGGTGAAAGCTTCTGAGGTTGGTGGTTAGGGTTTTTAATTAGAGGACGATACACGAGAGAGGGAAGAGAAGAGGGTCTGTGAGTGAAGTATTGATTAGGTAATGGGTAAGTTGGAAAAATAATTAGATATATACGATGTCGCCTTCCAAATGTGACGGTCGTACCGTGGTGCGCGACGCACGTGATTCTCGCTTTGGATTGTATATCTCCTTTTTCTTCATCCCTTTATTTTAAGGCAAAAGTATTTATAAATTTTTGACATAAATATTTTGTTTGTTATAGACATAAAATTATAGGATATCATATCGGATCCTGATAAATAAAAATAAAAATTAAATTTCTGTGTTTTATTTTTTGTCTTTTTGACAGATATCACTTTTCTGTCGCTGCTATAGAAAAATAATGCCTTTATTTTATTTGGTTCTTATTTTTTTAAATTAACATAATCTAAATATATTATGTAAAAATGAAATTTTTACATGCAGATTTTATGTCATGTATTGTTATTTAGTTCTTTTTTAAAAAAAATGTTTTTATTTAATAGTTTACTTATTTTGTATTATTTTAACATTCATCTTTTGAAAATTAATTCTTCTTTTCAATTATTTGAGATTTGGTAAATGAATAAAGAATAAATCAATCAATTAGGCGAATTAAATCAATGGGAATAATTTTTCTCAATTCAATTAGTATATAGTATTTATAATTGTTTTTAATTTGGTGAATTCATAAAGTAAATTAATTAAATGATTTAATTATAAAGAATTTCTCTCAATTCAATTAAACGAATTCATGAAATATAGCTGGATTCAGCTAAGTAATTATTATATTCTAAATCAAGCAAATAACTGTGATATTATAGCAATTCAGTTAAATAAATTTATCGAATATAGTAATTATATTTTGTTCGAATTTCATCGAATATCCTATAAAGAACAGTATAGTGATATCAAAAAAAAAAAAAAACAGTATAGTAATTATCTCATCTCAATGTAATTCATTAAATAGAACAATTATAGTTGCTTGATTGTCTTTACTTCTGTTTAATAATTAGAAATCATGTCTGATACTAATATATAAGATAAATTTTTTGTCTATAGATATTATATGTTACCTTTAAATTCATTTCTTTTACAAGCTTTTTACTATTAAACATATCATTTAATTCTTATTTTTACATGTATATAGTCAACTTTTAAATTATAAATAATCTCAAAAATTTAATTTAAATATCATTATCAAATAGAAATACAAAAAATATTCCAGCAAATTAGTTGATAATAAAATTTCTACAATTTTACCGGAATAAGAACAATTAGAATTAAAACTTAAATTGTTAATGATATAAAGTATTTAAATTTGCAAGAGTAAAATAAACATCTAATATTTTTTTCTTTAAATAAATATATTTAGACTTACCTAATGAATTCAAATTATAACTTCTTGTTTTGGGTAACAACTAAAATTATTTTACTTATACATATTTATGCTTGAATTAAATAAAACATTCAATTTGATTGTATTTTTAATTTAAATATAAAGCAGATATTTAATTTTAAGTTGGATTTTTGTCTATTACTATAATAAAATTTTGTTTTGTTTTTTACACGATGAAAATTTACTAATAAAAATGCATTTTTTTATCCGTGCAGCACACATGTCCAAATCTTTTTAAGAAGCTAAATAGAGGATAAGGTAAAATGAAAATATGGATAAAGGCAAACATTTTTTTTCCAAGGAAATGCTTATTAAATTTAAGAGTCGAATCTTCACCGTACAATTACATTCATTTAATAAAAATAAAAAATGTGATAAATGCATCAATACGGATCGGGGATAGTAATAAGTAATACCTGAGTCGTGCTTTAAAATTTTTCAAAATTTAAATATTAATTTTTATTTTTTAAAAAAAAACTGTTAACTTTTAATTGATTTCAATTGTAATTGTAGATTTAGTCTAATAGTAATATTTTTAGAATTTAACAAGGTATCATTATTTCTTATTTCAACTATTTTTTTATTCCATGTTTATTGGAAAATTTCCATTCTCACATTCCGTTGATACTATTAGCAAGTAAATTGGACATGTGCGTGTGTATATAAAATACCAATAAGCAATGCTTTATATACACTCATAAAAAGAATTACATTTTGGTTAAAATTCTCTCTTGATTCTTGTAATTTGGCACAATTGTTTTTATATTTTTGCAAGTTTAATTAATTTTTTTATAATCGCAGGCAAACTGCGAATAAGGCTCAGTTAAAATTTCCCCAGTACTTGCAGTAATCCATACTTACATGCTACCATATTTATAAAAGAAAAAATTTATACATTAAATATGGATGATTATTCATTAGTGCTCCTTAATTGTAAGGACTCATTATACGACTCAGGTTTCAACTTTGATTTACTCAGAGGATTTATATTTTAACTTTATAAAATATTTTAAAGAATAAATATTTAAGCTAAACATAAGAAAAAGTTAATCCAACCTAGTCGAACAATAAATTTATTACACAAAATACTTTATATCTTTTAAAGTTTTAATCTGTTTATCTTTTTCATTTAGAGGCTTTCAATCCTTTTAACAGAGCATGTTTACAACTCAAAAGACATGTATTGAATTCAATCAGCAAGCTCGTAAGTTTGATTTGAAGTCCCAAGTTGACCTCCGATTTATTGCACAGAAAAAAGAAGCCCGCAACGTTAAAGGGATAAAATAAGGGCTCAGAAAACATGCAGGAATTCAGGTCCAAGCGAAATTACAAATGTTTTATCAATACTTGTTCAGAAGATGAAATTGACAATTAATGCCGAGTGCTAATGATGTTCTTTAACAACGCCATCCTCCTGGCCTTTCTTGGCAGCAGCTCTTAGTTTGCGCTGCTCCTCCTTGTAAATCCGGTTTCTTCGTCGGAACTGCATTAAGCAATAACATCAATATCAGTCATTGATTTGCCAATCGAACCAACACATGTTCTCATAAAGTTTACTAGAGTGTCAAACAGGCCTTGCATCTAAAGCGGGGACGTTTACTTTCACAATGCTGTGGCAAAGTAAATTCGAACATTTTTTATAATATAGGTTATATAGCATCCTCAACTTCTTTTAAGGCCCCTAAACTAAAATACCAGGATATACACTGGTCACCAAAGTAAACTTTATTGACAAAATAGTATAGATACGTAATCTAGAATTATTTATCTTTCACCCCTTATTTTGATTCTTACCAAAAGCATTCCTTCTGTCTTCATTGCTCCCAAAATGTAAGGAACACTCATAAAAGTTTTTTTAAAAAAAATTGAAAAACAAAAGAAGCACTCTAGGAGTATAATATAAAACTATATACACCTTGTTCCCAATGTAAAATTAGTTGACTTCTTAGTCAGAGATGGAAAAGAAGGAATTAACGAGAATGAACCCAGAGTACCTGATTATAAGATTAAACCATACAAAATGAAAAGCTTGACTAAGGCAAAAGAATTTAACCAGATAATAGCAACATTTGAAAAACAACAACTTCCATATCACTCGTCAAATTCAATAACTAATATTTTAGTCAATCATACATACATTATGTTTGTGTTGTGTGTGTAAATGACTGACAAAGATGATAATCTGTGTAATTTTTCACCAGAAGTTTGGAATTCATGCACTAGACTGGCTATTAGAAATCCAACAATTCGCATGAAGGTTCTAACCTCATAAACAGTATTATATGATAACAACATCAAATTTCTGAAAGTCACCACCATATTATTGTCAACCACAGCATATACATCCTCAGAGTTGTGTCTAGAATGTAAGTTAGTGAAAAGTTATATAAGTTCTGTGAATAATTTTAAGTCATTCAGTTCAGCCAAATAGCTAACAACTGATATCCCATTATCCATGTTAATTGAGTACAACCACTGTGTATGTACAAAGCTACAAAAAGATATATAAATAAAATAGACTGTAAAAGCAAGAGAAGAAAATAACTCTAAAAAGTCCAACAGTTAAATCAAACATTAAAAGTCCAGTTGTAATTCAAAGTTCACTACTTTAATCCGTAACCAAATTCTGTTATGTAGCAAATTTTTGGTCCCTGGCCAAATCAAGGTTGCTATAGATGGCAACAAAAAGAAGCATAAAAGAAATCAGAAATCCCAATAAATCAGCACAAACCCTGTGTTGTTCTCATATTCAAATCAGAGACTGAAATGGAATGTAGATTAAAATACAATTATTAGAGGGAAAAGACAAATAACATTTTAAGATTTAATAGAAACAAAATTTGCTGAAATCTTCAAACCCACCTTTAAAGTTTGACAATAAGATTACCCTCAAAATAAAACACGAATATGTTAACAAGGCAAAACACAAAATTTGAGTCCGAGCAGAAAGGAAGCATGGAATACAGAAATATCACTAGCCATGCATAGCTTGTCATTCCTTACACAGCACCACTCTCATTTTTCACAATTCCCCTGTCCCATGATACCACTTCCTTGATTTATTAAACTGCTACTCGACAATAACCACACAAATAAAGATAACAATGAGACTTGACCATGTCTCTTATCTCCAACTTATGGAATACATATGTGTTTATTCGAATGTGACCAAAGGCCTTTCCTTATGAAAAGAAAAATATAATGGATAAAAAAAAACTATCAGATAGACTAGTTTAAGCTCAATTCCCTGCGCAGAGCTAAAGGATTTAGCCCAAAAAAAACGTCGCTGCAGTAAAATGATATTCCACAACAGATAGTGAAAGGTTTTTACAATAATAGTTGCCCAATGCTATCAAATATCCTTTACCTTACAATAAAAGAGGGTTTAGTTAGTCAGTATTAGGAATTCCCTTTTACAACATTTGTCTTCATTGTCCAGTGTGGATAATAACAGGGATGGTGAAGTTGCTAATTCACTTCTAGATTAAACACTTCCACAGTTGTCTCTTCCTTTCAATATAATAAGATCCCCAAAACAGGATGTATTTTTGTTTATCGGATCGGAATGATGAATTAAATAAAAAAAAAAAAAAATGGACGAAAAACCTAAGTAAAATGTAATAAAGATAAGATTTAAAAGTCGCATAACGGAAATTGATAGGGTTTGTAAGCGAGCGGAATGCAAAAATTAGAAATTAGGGTTTTGATAAATGAAATCGTATGGATATGATTTCGATGAGTGTAAAAAGGAAAAAAAGAGAAAGAGGGAAATGACCTCTTTGGAATGGTGGAGGCACTCGAGGTAATCTTCACGGAGAAGCTCACAGTCCTTAGGCTCTCGGCAGTGAGACATGCATTCGCGGAAGTCAATCCAGAAATCGTAGCATCGACCTTTGTTACCTGTAATTCCCCACCCTGACGCCATCTCTCTCTATCTTTCACTCACTATTACCTTCGCGCTCTCCCTAATTCCGAGTGCACACTCTGATTCTTGGTCCCTAGTTCAACCCTTCTTCAGCTTCTGCCATGCCTAAATTACCAAACTGCCACAACTTTTTTTTTTTATATATATATATATAAAATATTTTTTTAGGGTTGAATTAAATTACACTTGAAGCTCGTTTCAATTTCTTTCACAAGTTATTTTTTTTTTAATTTATAAAAAGGTTAAAGTTATTTTTTTAGTTTTCTAATTATTATATTTTTAATTAAAAAAATTTCTTAAAAATACACAAATAATTGGATCCTGAAAAAATTATATAATGTCAAGTTAAGATTTTATTTTTTAAAGTGTAAAAACACCAAATGAAGTTTAACTTGACTAAAGTAATCGAACAACAACAATTTAAAAAAGTTGTAAGTTTAAATATGATATAAGTACCTTTAATAGATCTCGATATTTGTGACTTGTAATCCTTTAATGCGATAATCTTTTGTTACAAAAAAAAAAAAAAAAGCGTAAAAGGACAAGGAAAACAATTTGTATGATAAAAAATGCACTGAGTATAAGGAAATAAAAAAATAAAGGGTTTTCGTTTTATCCTTTAACATAACACAACAAACTTTCCTACACTCACAATATTTTGTGGGACCCACACTTTTTAAAACAAAAAAATAAATAAAAAATTAAGGCACGCAAAACGAATCTCTATAACATTACACAATCACTTTTCCTACAACATAACTCTTATAAAACCCAAAAATAAAATACCCTTGAAATTTAGGAGAGGGTAAACTAGTTACACACAAATTAAACCACATTACAACTTGTATAATGTCCCAATGGCCTAATCATAGAATCTAGTTTTTGGTTTTTTAGTTATGCACATAACAATCAATTTCGTCTCTCATCTTTTTCATTTGTCTGAGAGAGGGAAGAACGACAGAGACCTCATGTAATCAAACCCAACATGAGGCATTTTCAAACAGATTAAGATCCCATTCACCTACTTGTCTTCTTCTTACTCACGAGATCGTTTAATTTTCATTATCTTCTTTGGACATTGACATGAAATAGAAATTAGACATAAAGTACAACTAACGGCAACATGACAAATTTCCCTTGTTGGGTAGAAGAAGTAATATCAATATTGGAAGCAACTACTTAGCCAAAGGGTTTTTAATTTTTCAAATGAGGGAAGGACTCGTGGAAATTATTTAAAAATGGAGTATCTTATTGAGTTATACTTATCAAGACAAGTGAGAAACGCACTTTCCATTCATCATGTTTTTGACTTTTCCCACCTATTTCAGTTCACCACCCACACCCTTTTCTTAATTGCATTCACTAGCCTCTTGCCTATGCAACAGATCCCTCCAGAAAAAGATCCATAAAGTGAGACGTAACATGCTGCTTTTAAAGTGCCAACTTTCAAAGCTAATCTCACAGCTCTCTAGTTCCACTAGAACAAGAACTATATATTCATGCCTGACTCTTCCCTTCTGTTCTTAATACAGTTTGTACCAAACTAGCATCACTATTTTTTTTTCTTTTCTTCATTGACATTCTATAAAATGATCATTATAGCACGCCTTATGTTGCTGCTTGCGTTGTTTCTTTCATTCCTAACAAATACTGGCCAAATGGTATTTGCAAAAGGGAACGATAATGTTAGAGATGCTTGCAGTGTAACAAGGTATCAAGACCTTTGTATACACTCTCTAGCACATTTCTCTAACACTGCGGGAAGAAGCCCCAGCAAGTGGGCACGTGCTGGAGTGTCAGTGACAATTGGCGAGGTTAAGAATGTTCTAACATATGTGACAAAATTGAAGAGGAACGGAAGCATGAAAGGAAGAAACAGAGTTGCCCTTTCAGATTGTGTTGAGACTTTTGGCGATGCTCTTGATGAACTTCACAGATCACTGGGTGTTCTGAGGAGGCTGAGCAAAAGCACATTTAGTACCCAAATGGGGGACCTCAATACATGGATAAGTGCAGCACTCACTGACGAAGATACTTGCCTTGACGGGTTTCAAGGCAAAACTCAAAGGCAAATCAAATTGCTCCAAAATCGGGTTCAGAATGTGTCTTACATAACAAGTAACGCTCTAGCTCTCGTCAACAAACTTGCCACTACAGGTATTGGAAGCATCACTGATCCATAGAAGTTCTGAAATGGGTAACAGAAATTCTCTCTAAATTAAGGATATAGAAATAAGTTGTGAACAGGTGTCCTATAGATACTCTATAATAGTGGCTTTATTTCTAAGATATATGTATACTTGTTTCTTTTAAATCGTCCTGGAAATGTGACAGAGAGAAGAAATAAAGAAAGCCTAGCTAGGATGAGATGAGATATGTCTGGATATTGAGTTTGGTTCAACTTGCACTATGGATTGGATGCTGCTTCCTCTTTGTAAATATGACATGCAATCCTAAAAGCTATCCCCTAGTTAAAGTTCTTTTATTTCTTTAGTTCTATTTTGTTAGTGAGACGAGTACGTACGTCTTTAGTTCTAAGAGCTTAAATGCTAAAGTTGAGGCTTCTGAAATAAAGTTTTAAAAAAATATTATAAAAGAACTTTATTTCAAAGCTTAAAAAAATCTCTTAATTTTTTAAAAAAAAAATGAAAAAAAAACTCTTAAAAATCATGATAAATAATTGTTTTACAAAAATAAGTTAATCTAATTTCCCATTAAGTCTACTCAATAGGGAGATCACTCAAACATTTACAATTTTGTATGCTTGCAGGAGCTACCTTACAAAAAAAAACTTATTTAACGTTTATAGATATTTTTATCGTTCTTAGATAATTTTATAACCTATAGAGATTTGCCTCGCTGTTTGTTTATTGTATTTTTTCTATAAGTACTATTTTATATCCCTCACTAGCTGCCATCATCTCTCTCTCTTTTTTTTAATAAATCCAAGGTATCCTCGTTCTTTCGGGATGAGATCAGTGGCGGATCCAGAAGACGTAATTTATGTCTGCACATTTAGTGACTTTCATGAAAAAAAAATTAAAGAAAATTTTAAATGCATTAAAAAATAGGATATTGTAACAACCAAGTATTGTTACTACCAATCAATTTCATATTTATTTTCATCTTTGTATGGTTATGATCCTCTATATTTAAAGTTTTTAATTTAAATATGAGGGATCATAACCATACAAAGATGAAAATAAATATAACCGTTTGATCCACATAATCGATCTAACGATAAAATTAATTGGTAGTAATATTGATAGTAACACTACTTGATTAATTGTTACAATATCCTTCCCGATATCGGATTGAACCGAACCGAATTTATTAAAATTAATAGTTACAATATTTAGGGATGTGCATGGGTTGAACCGAACCGGATTTTTTGAAAAATCGAACCGAATTGGTTTAAATGGTTCGGTTTGAAAGTGGTTCGGTTCGGTTCAAAACTGGTTCTGTTCGGAAGTGGTTCGAAACCGGTTCAGGTCGACCCTCTTTTGAAAAGAAAAAAAATAAAGTTATAAAAATTAATTTGGTTTGGTTTGAAAATTGTTCGGTTCGGTTCGGTTCATGAACTAGTTTTTAAAAACCAGTTATTTTATGGGACGGTTTGGTTCGGTTCATGGTTCGACCCAAATTTTTGATTATTTTGCACACACATAAATTTATCTGCTGACCCCAAAATGCAACTCCATTAATTCGAACTCCATGCCCTGTAGACACACAAACCCAAATACTTGGAGCTCAGTCCACTACCAACTGAGCTACACCTTGGGTTAGCTGCCATCCTCTTTAGTCTTTACTGAATTTGACTATATTCTGAAATAGAAATTGGGCAAATCATTTGAATGGCTCACTAACGTTTATAGATCAGAAATGGGTTGCCTTCACAAATTTAAATGGGCTTTAAACTGCTAACTCAGGCTTGGTCCGTGTTGGTTAGCAAGTTTAGCGAAATGGGCCCGCTATGTTTTTAATTTTGTTTTCTAATACTTTTTTGTTGTTTAAGATTTTGGACCTTATTTGAGCATTTAAGCCATCATTTTAGCATTTAGCTTGAGATTTTTTTAAAAAAAAATATTATAGGCAAAAGAGCTAGTTAAAAAAATAAAATAAAAAGCAGGTCAACCTTTTTTTTTTCAAATTGGCTCGCGAGTATTATGTTACAACTCATTTAACATAATACTTACCATGCCTCATCGACTTATAGATCTGCTATGTCACAAAGCAACCTCAAACATTCATTGATATGTTATTTGTAAGTATCATTATACGCCTTCAACAATAAAGTGTTAAAAATTCAAAGGTAAGTGATTAATAATTAAGTCTCATGTCCATTAAAAAATAATTAATTAAGGATTATATAAGGAAGAGGACCCATTAATATAATAATTTAAGATCTTGAATTAAAATATGATGCCAAATTTATTTATCAGTTGTGTCATAATTTGTTTCTTATACAAAATTAGCTAAATCAAAACATGTACAGTAAAACTTGTGGTTTCATGGCTGGTTTGAGACCATTTTCTCCTCGAGATTGAAAAAAAAAAGTTTTGTTAGATTTAGGATGTGCTTGATTTGTTAGAATAAGAAAACAAATTCTACTCTCTTTCATTGTTTAATTACCGATACAACATAAATCTCTAAAAAAAAAACTTTACCTATTAATCCAACTCACAAAATCTTATTTACAACACAAAAAGAGAGAGAAAAATCAATTCCCTCTATCCATTCATTTTTTCTAACTCTATTACAAGCAAAAAAATAAACACAAAAAATATGATAATAAGTTTTACGTTATTATTTCTCAACTTGGGCATAAAACCAACAAAAAAATAAACACAAAAAATCTTTAACACCTACGGGCCCCGAATGTGCTTAGATGATGGTCGTGTTGTTAGTAACTTCGTTGCTCAGGTGAGTCTTCTAATTTTAAAGTATAGTTTGGATAGATTACATAATATACGTACCTTGTTTACAGAAAGGAATGCATTGTGGCTTTCTTCGTTAAGTGTCACTGATTATGGCGTTAATGCAGGCACTAAGAAAGGAGCCTTTGACCGTTTATGGGGATGGGAAGCAGACAAGGAGTTTCCAATATGTATCTGATTTGGTAAGTGATTGTACTTCTCTCTCTCTTGTGTACTTGCATAGTAGAAAAATTAATAATAAGCTAAATGGGTAATAAGTTTTCTCTAATCAAATCTAAATTCCAATTTCATATATGCTACTTGTTTCGGATGGCAATTTGGATTAGAAGCAGCTTGGCTTCTTTTAGTTTCAAGCCAAAAACATGTGAACTTTCCCCATGTGCATACTGCATATGTAACAAATCATTCCTGGCTTCCTGCAACGGGTCTTTTCAATTCTTTTAGTATATAAGCTCTTTGCAAAGGCTCTGTCGTGTGTCTAAATGACTCCATTGCCCATAGTCGAGTCATGTCGGATGGTGTTAGTGGCTCATTTAACTTTGAAGCATTGGCATGTGATGGAAGCAGTTCTGCAGGCCCAGGTGGGCCATTACTTTATACCTGCTCTCTAGACAATAAAAACTCCACTTTGCAAACAATGGAGAATGAAGCATAAATAAATAAAAGTGGCAACCTCGCTTTTAAGATAAATGCACGAAGCTCATAAGTAACACGTTTATTGCAAATAATCAAATATCATCGTGAACTTTTAGATTAAGGCCTGGATCATTCCACGGTTGTGATCTTTAGATTAAGGCCTAGATCAGTACGCGGTGAAATTGCTGGGAGTAAACTTGCTTGGATTATTCGCTCTGAGTCCATATGCTGCTCTATGTTGGATTAATGCGGTGTTTATGTTGGTACAGGTAGAGGGTCTGATACGCCTCATGAAAGGAGAACATGTGGAACCTTTCAATCTTGGAAATCCGGGTGAATTCACCATGCTTGAACTTGCCAAGGTAAAGTGGGTTTTTGTGCTCTTATAAGCTTTACTATTTTTTTTAAGTGAAGGAATTTTTTCCCCTTTTATTAATCTATTTTTTATTTACTTTCTTTTTTATTTTATTTTATTTAAACTATTTCTTTTTATTTATTTTTCTGTCTTATTTATTTTACATTCACTATATTTTTATTCTCTTTTTTTCATATGTTTTTTTTTAATTTTTATTTATTTATTTCTCTGTTTTAATTTATTTTATTTTATTTTATTCTTGTTCATCCACTACCAACACCAATCAATTTAGGATAAAAATATTATTGATGTTAAGTATGCCGTTGGTTGAAGGAACCTTTTATATTTTTAAGATAGGCTTATAATAATACCTGAGAGAAATTTGGCACGTTAAATTGCAAAGACAACGAGGGAGGGTAAAACTACTTATAATCATTCGCATTACGCCAATAAACCCAAAAGTCATCTTCACGGGACACCAGTTTATTCATGTATCTCGTTCTTATTCACTGAACAAGTAAAAACCAGGAGTAGATTGTGCAACTTGTCTTGTTAGGCCGACTATTTATTCATTTTTTAAATAATTATTTCAACCCAAAACTTTAAAGTTTTCTTTGCGAGTTTGGAGGGAAGAAGAAAAGAAGGGAGAGGAGAAGAGGGAAAGAAAATGGAGCGTATTCTCTCCCATTATTTGAGAGTTTAAATCTCTCAAATTAAGAAAATTTTAATTTTAAGAACAAGAAGGGTTTTAGAGAGTTTTGTGAAAATTTTCAAATTCTTCCTCTCTCTTTTTTGGGCTTGAATTGTAGATATTACAGAGTTTCAATTTTTTATTTACCTTGTATTTATTTTAGTTTCACTAGAAAGTAGGGTAGTGAAGATCGAATTCTTTGATACCATGTTAAGAACTATCTCAACCCAAATTTTAAGGTGTTGGATAAAGGCATTTTAATGGTTTATTTTATTTTCTAACACACTATCTCACGCAAGAGATATATAAAACCATTAATATAGTCTCAGCCAACAACTTGAATTTTTTTTTGATTGAATTGGTTTTTTACATGGTATCATAGTCTCGATGTCCCGGTTCGATCTTCGCTGCTCCCATTCGGTGCATCATCCATCTTTCAAACTCAGTGAACTCTATTGTGAGGGAGCATGCTTAAACTTTTCGGTTGAATTAGTTGTTTATACAATTAAAATTTTATAAATTGCTGTGCCAAAAAAATGGCTCTACTCAACGTCTCAATCCGCAAAGAATTAGGGACTATCATAAATAGTTATGGGTAAATATAAATGAATAATGCCAGTTGGGAAGAAAGGGTTATTTTTCTTGTCAGTGGACTCGATAGGTTTAACGATTTCTGAATGATATATTGTGGAGTAAAAACTTGTTGTCCCTAACAAAAAATACGGTTCTTATTTTCATCTTTTACAAAAAAAGTACTCATATTAAGTCTTTTTTTATGGACTAAATTGAATCTTTATTAAATTTCTTACTTCAAAAAAATAGAATTGTAGAAGAACTAAAAATTGATTGATTTATTTTTTTTGAAAAGAAAGAAAGTGGAGACTGTTTTTTTTTGTTAAGGATCCAAAAGTAATTTTATTCTATATTGTATATTGAATTATTGATATACACTAAAATAAGCTGGCCTGGTGAAACTGTTGCAGGTGGTGCAAGAAACAATAGATCCAGATGCTAAGATAGAATACAGGCCCAACACAGAAGATGACCCACACAAGAGAAAGCCTGATATTAGTAGGGCTAAGGAGCTACTTGGGTGGGAAACCAAGGTGGACCTACGCAAGGGACTCCCTTTAATGGTTTCTGACTTCCGACAACGCATTTTTGGTGACCACAAGGAAGGTGCAACCACAGCCTAATGCTTTTCTTAGAAAATGCAAATTGGAATTTGTTCTATCATGTCCCTGAGAGTGGGAAAGGGAAAGGATTGTAGTTTGCACTTCATAGCCAGATAACAGTTAGCGGGGTTCCATTATTGTAGTTTTCTTAGAAAATGCAAATTGGAATTTGTTCTATCATTATCCACACGCTCGTGATTATTAATCTATCTACGTCTCACACCACCTCTTCATGTATTAACATAATGCCCGCCCTCAATTTTATTATTGATATACTCTCAGAAAACATTATATATATAACTACATATGGTCACATTCTCAGAGTCCCTACCAGAGTGGGATTACAATCTAAATTTCTGAGTGGGATCGCAAGCAGTGTACTTTCAATCCGCAAAGGTAGCTTCTTCTCCCGTGTGTTCGATGTAAAATCTTTACTGGCGATGCAGCTGTTGTCAACTTCTGAATTGGTTGCAGAGACTCATTAGCAGCATTGCTGGCGTGCTTGTCTAGCCATGTTATGATGTCTGCAAATACATGTTCAATGTTCTCATCAGGTTCCCCAGATGTTAAACCATGCCACATTCCAGGGTACAATTTTATGGTCTTATCTTTGCTACTGGCTCGCTCGTATAATGCCCTGCTTACTTCTGGGTCAGTCACTGTATCTGCTTCTCCGTGTAATACAAAAAACGGCAGGGTCACCTGCTCAAAACTCAGCCAATGGACCGCGAACAAATTGGTTACAATAAGTATATTTAAGAAGTGTTAATTTGATATTTTGGCAAAAATAAAAAGGGTAAGTAGATTACGAATTAAATTCAAATATAAAAATAAACTGGCAGATAACCTTATATAAGCCGTCTTCAAGGCTCATGCTGATTCTCAACATTTCTAATGCTGTTTTTAACCTGGGCTTGTCCTGGTATATCAACTTGTTTTTCCTTATCTGCAACCACCGTCAAAGGAAGAGGCACATCAATCAAGGCAAGATTTTTAAGTCATTTAAGTAAGCCTTAATTAATTACAGTTTATTTAAACTTGAGAAAATTATAAATATTGAGAAAAGAGGAAATTAAGCCTCACCCTTTCTCGTTTGGCAGGGTCTTTGAAGGCTGAATTGATGACATCCTTTGTGGGAACTATCTTCCATTTTGGTATAATATCTTCCACTTTAGTCAATATGTTGATGACCACCGGGTGTGGTTTCACCTTCTCTGATATCTGCCTCATTGTTTGGATATTAATTTGCATATTCCAGCCACATGCATGTTACAATTTTTATGTAGGAAAAAAATTATAGCTACTCAATTAATGAAGTTAATAAGTAGCTGCTTATGAATTACATATTTGTATACTAATAATCAATTGAATAATTAATTTACCTAAACTTAATATTTTTATTTGGAAATTTTTCGTAAAATATTATTTTTTCTGAGCTGAATGAATGTCCGCGCAAAAGACATTCATAATTTCCGAATCATACCTACCTTACACATGGGCGCGACGAGAACTGCACCGTCCCAGAAAGAAGGGTCCTTTTTATGCAAAAGTAGGGCCACTGCCCCTCCCATTGACTCTCCATACAAGAACCTAGCTTTTCCCTTGTACTCTTGGAGCACTGAAATACGCAAATGAATCAATCATAAAAGCACTCCCCATAATGTCTCAACTTTCAACACTGAGAGTAATGCAAATAAAGTCAATAATTTGAATCCCTACCACTGACCGACTTGAAAAAGTCATAACAATCGTTAATAATGTTATCAAACTTCTTTATGTAACATCGGGCACCTTCAGAAAGTCCATGCCCTTCATAATCGACACCATACACAGCATATCCGGCACACGCTAGCCTTACTCCACATTCTACAGACACCATGCAACCAAAGCAACAAATCATACAAAAGTTCACATAGCAATTTCTGTACTATTAATTTTAGCTCTAATGCTTGCCCATATTAGTTATGCATCATTCTAATTATTATATATTATCATCATCACTTTGGGGGGTTAGGTCGGGGTGGTTAATCTAATGTTCTATTTTTGAGGCTGCCAAACCAAAATGGGCCTATGAAGGACAAAGAGTTGTCCACTCCAACTGAGGGGGGAAAAATTGAAAGGAAAGATATAATAATGTGACCAGTACCAGTCACCACCATGAAAAAATCTTCCCCCACGCCATGTCTAGTATGGCCTCCTCTGCTCAGATAAAATTGCAATAAATTTTTTCAGTACGTCACTTTTTGTGGTGGATCCACGCTTCTTAATGCTTTGTTTGAATTTAAAAAAGTTTCTTTTAATTTTTAGATAAACAAAGCTACCTATTCTTTTTATGGAGTGCTGTAAGATCTGGTTGGATCACACCACTACTAGTACTACTATATCTTTGTTGCATGAAATGAACCAATACCATCGTTATTGTTGGTTCAACTGTACCCTTACGTGGCGAAGGGCAGTTGGATTATTATATGACAAATTGGATGGTTTACCAACCAACTTGTTATGGATCTCAATTTCAAGAATAAATCTTTGGTACTACTGTTGTACCTAGATTCAGTGCATTCCATCAATGAGAACATTATACATCAGAGAAAAAAAATTGACAGAAAAAAAAAATTTAACTGACATGTAATATTTTCATTGGTGAGATATACTAAATCTTTGATACAACGGTACCAAAGTTTATTCCAATTTCACAGGTTCATTTTCGGAAAGATTTGACCAAGTGTCAACAGGGCCCGCCTGACACACAATTTTTGTCAACAAATTTTTTTCTCAAATATAAATTGGTCACCTAATCGACGTACGGGTGCAAGATTGGCATTTGGCATCTTTATGGGTTAGCTCTATTCTAGTTTATTAGGTATATTGTGATTTCCCATTACTAGAGTGAGATACAATAAATCAATAAACTTTGGTCAGAAAAATAAAATAAATAAAGGAATAATTTTCTATGAATTTTTTTTTGAACTAGAGGTTCAACCATTAAGGAATAAGTGTTCATGTAATTATTTTCATTGGAGGTTTAACCACCTACGAGAAGATGACAAATAATTAAATAAAAAAATATATAATTATCACGTTCAAATCTTAAAGATTTAACTTGATGTTAATTTAACTATCAGTTAGATAATGTTTCATGTAATTATACAATTTTTTTTTAATAAAATTATATTCCTTAAAGATGAATTATTTTCGCTCATATGTTAATATGGTGTTTAAACGCGAGTATTTTTTTTTTTTTATATATATAATAGTGAAAATTGAACACATAGTGTAATACAAATTACTCAAATCCCTTACTATTCAACCAAATTTAGTGACTTTAAATGCAAGTATTTCTTTTTTTTGGTTTCCCAGAATACCAAACCCAGTGGCTTTAAACACAAGTATTATTTTTTTTTTTGACTTCTCAAAATATCTTTCAGCTTGACAGTTGAAGATTAATTCTTTCGAGATGAAAGATCATATTAAGTGAATAAATTTCTCCCAACAAAGTTTTTTCATACATACGGCGAAAGATTAAATCCCTATCAACATAACTAAAGAACCCAACTATCTACCAAGGGTGCTAGGCTTCTTTGTTGGTAAACGCAATTATTTCTAGTAAAACATAAATCCTTGTTTTCACACAAAATTTAAGTTTTCAACTTAAAACGTGAGTATTTTGCATTATATTTTATGCATGAATTTGTTATCTCAATCTTCTTTAAACTGACTCTAACAATAACACAAATTGGGAGGTGAGGAATGGAAAAGGAAGGAAAAGAAGTCATCGAAGAACATTTATTACCTCTCATGAAGCGACTGCATTCCATGCCATAACCTGCAAAAATAATTAATGAAGCCGACGTAAAACGACACCTACTAAGAGAGAGAGGGAGACGAATAATGAGAGAGATAGAGGGGCCAGGGAAAAAAGAGAGTGAACCATGGCAAAGAAAAACCAGGGCCTTTGGAGAAGAGAAAGGCAACCATTTGCATGTGAAGAGTTGCACGCCCCTTGAGTTCCTCCTGTATTCCTGATGTTACGTATAAAACAATCTCCACATTAAAATTAACATAACCGCGACACAAAAGAAGAATCGAGTACTGTGTGAAAGAAAGAGCTAGGGAGGATTTACTTCTTGATATTCATATTCCAAATCCATGATATAAAAGCAGCCAAATAAATAATCCGATGAGAGTCAAATGATCGAATGTTGAACAAATGAAAAACAAAAACCGTTCACCAAGTGACGGATCTACAAAGGGCACCTCCTCTAGTTCAAAGGCTAAAGAAGTCTAATGTACGTGAACCTGATGATGAAAAAGTTGTTAAATAAGTGGAAAGAACATAAAAGAGAGCGACAGGGGAGAACGAAAACAGCTTTAACTGAGAATGGGAGGAGAGAAGAGGGTGAATTCTGTCCTTTTAGATAGAGACGGTGAGGGTGTTTTTTTAATTAAACAAAGAGTAAATATCTTTTTGGTCCTCACTAAATTTCACGAAGCCCGTTTTAGTCCCTAGCAAATAATAAGGTCCATCGTGTCCCTAAGAAATTCAAAATGGACCCATAATATGGGTCTTTTTTGAATTTGTGAGGGACTTCAATTTCAACTAAATGAGTTCATTTCGAATTTCTTAGGGACCTCGATGGACCTTTTTATATGCTAGGGACTAAAACGGGTTTTGTGAAATTTGCTCAGGACTAAAAAGGGTATTTACTTTTAAATGAATTTGACTAATCTAGAAGGTGGACACGTGGAGTAATGGAGCGTGTGGAAATTTTTTTGGATATATAATTATAAATTAAAAAATCACCTGTTAAAAATTATAATAAAATATGTATACATGTGTTTTAAATTATAAAATTATTAATTTTTTAATTAACAGTTATAATTTTATGTTTTCTCATCCAACATACATCTATCATTTTAGAGTGTTCAAATCCTTATTTTATATATAAGAATTTGATTGTTTACTCACATAATTTCTTTTTCTTTGAGACTAAAAAATAAAAAGATGGAGAGTAATGAGGTAAGGACTAAAGGTGAGCGTTGAATTGAATGAGGCCATTCCGTATCTCAGGGAATGACATGGAATAGTTAATGAAGGCTAGTTTGTTGTCGTTCATAAGTATATTGCCTCAGTGCACCCTCCCCTTGTCACATCCCTCGTCGTACCAAGTCTTAGTTCCAAGTTTCATTATTAATTTGTGGATATGCACACATACACGCTCACCGTCAAATAATATTTTCTCCTAATCTTCTCCAAAGCAAAGATGTACACACATATATATATATATATATATGCAAAATTTGTAAACAAATCTTACTTACGAAATCCAATTTCGCATTGAATACTCAGCCCATCAGAAGTATATTTCAATCAGAATTATTTAAATTATATACAATTTGTTAAATACTTTGTATAACTATTATCCAATTCTCATAATATACATCTGTTTGAATATCTAGGACTCAGCATTAATATGGTGATAATTATAATAAAATTTTGTTTATAGTTTGGCATAATATATTCAGAATAAGTAAACTCTACTAGTGATCTATTAGAAAATATAATCTAGACCAAGAGTGGATGGCCATGCTTTTGCATTGAGTAATGTACCCGAAAAGAAATGGATGATATTGCTGAATTGTTTAATTGAAATGGTAGTTGCATAATATTAATGGATTTCTCGTGAGAGAGTGTAATATGGGTACAGAAAAAGCATAAGGTCGAGTACGTAGGATATATCGATGCTTTTGGACTGGCTCAAATTTTAATTTTATTGATTCATATGCTAACTCATTTGGAGAACTAAACTTTATATGAATATGTATAGTTGTATGAATGGGGGTTATATTTACAAATATTTTATTTATAAATTTTTACAAATTATAATATATATTAAGGGTGATAGAGAAAAATTAAGATGCAGAAATATAACTCACAATGTTTGAAGAGGGAATACAAATTTCATAAACTGACTCAAACTTAATATAAATCAGAAACTAAAACTGAAAAACATAACATTAAGAGACACATTACACCCAAATAAACTCTAACTTAATGACTCATTATACTACCCAAAACTGACCCATTATGATACCGTTAAGACTCGTCAAACAACTTTAGTGCAGCACATGGCCGTTACATCAAACTTAAAAGACCATTGAATTTTCTAACGGACAAAAAACAAAGAGACTCTAACATTCCCTCCCTTAAAGTGATGTTCTTGAAAAATTCAGTTTACTCCAAATCCTTTGACTTTCTCCATGGAACACATGCCAAGTAATCCCCTGAGCTTTTGAAACTCAACATATTTGAGAGGCTTCGTAAACAAATCAGCAACTTGATCCTCACTTCTACAAAAAATAAGATCAATTATATCAGCCTTTGTAAGATCCCTTAAGAAATGATACTTCACATCTATATGCTTGCTTCTCCCATGTAAAATTGGATTCTTTGACAATTTAATTGCAGAATTATTGTCACAATAAATTAAAGTTGCTCCTTCTTGCTTGAAGTGAAGTTCTTCAAGAATTCTCCTTAGCCAAATGGCTTGGCATGCACAAGCTGTAGCAGCAACAAATTCAGCTTCTGTGCTTGATAAAGTGACAATTGGTTGCTTCTTCGATGCCCAAGAAATAGCACCTGTACCAATCATAAAAACATAACCTGATGTGCTCTTCCTGTCATCTTGATCTCCTGCATAATCACTGTCAGTAAATCCCACTAAATCAGATTTTACACCCTTCTTGTAAAATATCCTGAAAGTTCTTGTTCCTTGCAAGTAGCGAAGGATTCTCTTGGCAGCCAACAAATGTATTTCTGTAGGATTTTCCATATACCTGCTAATTAAACTCACAGAATACATTATGTCTGGTCTTGTTGCAGTGAGATACATCAAACTTCCCACAATTTGTTTGTAGAAGGTGCTGTCAACCTTCTTTCCTCCATGATCTTTATGTAACTTCAAGCCACATTCAACTGGAGTGTGCACAGGATTACAATCCTTCATCTGAAACCTGTCTAGAATATCTTCCACATATTTATTTTGAGAAATAAAAATTTCATCACTTGATTGTGCTACACTTATGCCAAGAAAGTAATGCATCATACCAAGATCAGTCATTTCAAACTCATTCATCATAGACTTTTTAAATTCTTCAAACATAACATCACAATTTCCAGTGAATATAAGATCATCTACATATAATCAAACAATAAGCATTTTTCCTTCATCACCAATCTTAACAAAGAGTGTATGTTCATAAGGACACTTTATAAAACCAGCCTTAAGAAAATAAGACTCAATGCGACTATACCAAGCTCGAGGGGCTTGTTTTAGTCCATAAAGTGCCTTTTTCAATTTGTAAACTTTATGCTCATTTCCAACTTTCTCATAACCAGGGGGTTGTTCAATAAATATTTGTTCCTCTAAGTACCCATGCAAGAATGCCGATTTGACATCTAGCTGGTAAATAGGCCAAGAATTTTGTGCAGCCAATGCAACCACCAACCTGATTGTATCATGTCTCGCAACAGGAGAAAAAACTTCTGTATAATCAATCCCATATTGTTGCTTGTACCCCTTGACAACCAAGCGTGCTTTGTGCTTGTCAATTTCACCATTTTCCTTTAACTTTGTTTTAAACACCCACTTCACACCAATGATTTTGTGTCCATTTGGAAGATCAGTTAACTCCCAAGTATCATTCCTCTCAATTGCATCAATTTCAGCATCCATTGCTTTTCGCCATTTTTCTTCTTTGACAGCACTCTCAAAAGTCACGGGATCACATTCTGAAAACAAAGCAAAGTGAGTAATTGGATCTTCAATTCCAGTTACCTCATAATCTTCCATCCAAGTAGGCCTTCTTCTAACACGACGAAGAGATTGAGTTTCTTCTTCGTTAACTCCAACTACTGTTGGTGAGGATTGACTAGCTGAAGAAGTTGCAATGGACGAATTTTCAGGCATACTAGATGCTGAAATTTGCTCTTGTTCAGAATCAATATCACAAAGAACTTCGGTAGGCTGCTGCATATTCCAATCCCAAGTGTTTTCTTCGTCAAAAACAACATCCCTGCTAACCACAATTTTTTTCGTCAGTGGATTAAATAATTTATATGCTTTAGATGTATCACTTACACCTAGAAAGACACATTTTTCAGCCTTGTCATCAAGTTTTTTTCTTTTCTGTTCCGGGACATGAGCATATGCAATGCATCCAAAAATTCTAAAGTGATCCACATTTGGTTTTCTCCCACTCCAAGCCTCTTCTGGCGTCATATTTCGAACTGCAAAGGTTGGACTTCTGTTCAAGACATGAATGCACCAGTTTACTGCTTCTGGCCAAAACGTCTTTGGAACTCTTCCTCTTACCAACAAGCTTCTAACCATGTTGAGGATGGTTCTATTCTTCCTCTCTGATACACCATTTTGTTGTGGTGTATACGCAGTTGTAAGCTCTTTTCGGATGCCATGTTCTTCACAAAAAGTTTCAAATTCTTTTGAGCAATATTCACCACCACGATCTGTGCGAAGTGTCTGAATCATCCTTCCTGTCTCATTCTCCACACGAGCTTTGAAATTTTTAAATGTAGAGAAAACTTCTGACTTTTCCTGTAAAAAATAAACCCACGTTTTTCTAGAAAAATCATCAATGAAGGTAATTAAATATTTTTTACCTCCATTAGAAATTGGATTTATTGGACCACAAATGTCTGAATGCACCAATTGCAAAATTCCCTTTGCTCTCCATGAGTTCCCTTTTGCAAATTCAGAACGATGTTGTTTGCTAACAACACATTCTTCACATACTAAGGAATGAGGA